CGCAGTTGGCTCGTGGATGCTTTCATGTAGTAGCGAATATTGTTGTGATGTCTGGTGTGGGAGGTGTACCAAAGGGGAGCGCTGAGGACGTTGCTCGAAAGAAGAGAGGGGCAGTGTGATGCCTTGTTTATGTGATTACTGACATTTGGCGGTCACTTTGGGGTTTGTCTGGTCCTTGTACACGTGGACTGGCCTTCGAGTCATGCCCAGACCCATTTGCCTAGTATTCTCGGCAATGCATGTATCCAGCTGCACTCACTGCCTTCTTCCACTCTATGGGAAGCCTCGACACGCTACAACTTTGTCGCTTCTGATAAACGACTAACGAAGAACAAGCTTTAGAGAGGCTCCAGCTTGACTGGAGCAGAAGGTCTTAAAAAGTTCTTAAGGGCAGCGAGATACATGTATTCCGAAGACAACAGGGCAAATGGTCCTGGGCATGGATCGAACGCCAGCCCATGTGTTAGATAGCCAGGTGGCCACATAAATTAAGTACTACATAGGCAATTTAACAAGCGCATGAACAAATCGTCTTAAAACTTGGTGTTCGAATTATTGTTTTTAGTACATTTCTTTTTTAACATACTATATTTCTTAAATCGTAAAAGTTAAAAACAGCGTGGGACAGCGAATGATATAGTCAAAATTGTTTTCAGTTTTAATGTGATTGCCATTTTAAGATGGTCCGTTCTTATCCTAACTTTACATTAAGAGAATCATTTTAAAGTTAAAGCCAATGAAAATGAGACCTTTGCACTGTCTTCATCTGTGCTGGCTAGCCTGATTTTAGTTGATGTTCTGACGTGTTGGGATAGGATGAACTTTTTTCGATTTCTTGGGGACTTCTCTCACTTTGTTGCTATAATAATTTTATTACTAAAAATATGGAAAACTCGCTCTTGTGCAGGTACGTGCAAAGTTGCTCCCCAATCGCTTTAGGTATATCTGGAAAATCGCAGATGGCATTTGCGGTGGTTTTTAGTGCTCGTTATTTGGACCTGTTTACAACATTTATCTCCGTCTATAACTCCGTTGCGAAAGTCGTTTTTATTGTGTCTTCATACGCTACTATATATCTTATGTTTTTCAAGTTTCGTGCTACCTACGACAGCAATCACGACACGTTCCGTCTTGAGCTTCTAGTTATTTCATCTGCAATTCTCGCTCTCATAATAAATCATCAATTTTCCATCTTTGAGGTACTCATTTTTAAATTTTTAAACGTTATTCTTAAGATTCTTTGGACATTTTCTATCTACTTGGAGTCTGTTGCCATTCTTCCTCAGCTTTTCTTAATCTCCAAAACGGGTGAAGCTGAAACCATTACCTCGCATTATCTGTTTGCCCTTGGGTCTTACAGAGCACTTTATATTTTGAATTGGATTTATCGTTACTTGTTTGAAGGTTACTTTGATTATATTGCTGTTGCTGCCGGAGTCGTCCAAACCCTTCTCTACTTGGACTTCTTTTACTTATACGTTACCAGAGGTTGGTGTCAACGTTGAGTTTGCTTTACTATGTCTTTCATTCTTTTAGTGCTCAAGGGGAGAAAGCTCAGTTTGCCAGCTTGAGAGATAGTCACTTTATTTGCGGTTGGCTTTCTATGAACAATCTCACTGTAATTATCACATCGCTATTCCTCTGTCATATTTCTCTGAGTGTAAAGGCACAGCTCGATCCCACCATGTTTTATACTTTTTGAGAAGTGGTGCTTCATTGGTTTTATGAGGCTTGGTAGCATCAATAAAATTCAATGATTTTGAAGTTTTTTCATTTACCAGTGGAGTTCGGCATCTGTTGTAAGTTATATGGGTTATCGCGTTATCGCAACTGAGGAAAGAGTAGCTTGACTAACGCTTAGTCTTCGAGACTGGTAGACTTCATATATCCGTACTTTGACAATAAGTATTATTTTAATTGGCGCTCTTTTTCTTGCCTAGGTATCCGCGTAATCGTTGATGGTTGAGAATATTTGTCATTTGTTTTCGATTATTGAGATGGAATGATCACTTTATAACCGGCATCAAGGTCCTCGGAACATATGGCAATCCTTTATAGATGCATCGTTGTGTGGCGTATTTTTCCAGAGCGTCGAAGATTTAGTCATCATGGTCTGATTGTTTTTGCTATTCACCAACTCTCATGTTTTAAAGAACGCTCTGAGAATCCCCAATCCCCAGTATTGTGCTTTAAAATTCAGACTAGATTGTCAATGTTTAACTCAAGTATTAGTGACCCCCAAAATTCAACCGAGAGTTTGGGATGTAGCGTGCATGTGTTGATGTCGAGTTGGCAAGTTGGCCATTTAGTGGAGCCGAGATTTTATGGGTGTCTGTGGTGCATTTGGGAAAACTTCATCACACCTCTTACTGTAGTTTGATTAACTTGAGAAGTCGGATTCGGTTGACAAAGATAGTTACAAGCATCCAACATGTCACTGGGTGCCGTTTAGATTATCATTATCATGGCTTAGCTTTTGATAGTGTGTTTGCGTTCTGCTTTTGCTCACTGATGGCTGACAGTTCTGCATCTTTTTCGTTTTACATTGATGGGAATTACGATGGCGGCGATGGAAACAAACACAATGGTTAGAGTCGTTGCTATGTAAGGAATTGGAAGACTCAACGGACTTCATCGAAGATGGATTTCACTGGTTTACCATCTCTGCTCTTCTGCTAGATGGGCTATTTCAATTCGCTATCGTGCCAGCGTCTGCAGACTTGTCGATAAGGTATTTTACAGAGCCATCAGTTCGCGTGTCCCATTGGTGATCTTTTTTTTTGGAAACTAAGACTGAGGCGGAATATCCGCCGAGCTCAGAATCTATTTTGAAAGGAGACCATCGACCATCTAAGTCATTTAAAGTAACGTCGGTTGGAGGTAGGGGAGAAGAATGAGAGAAGATAGTTTATCATATGGGAAATTCAAATCTAAACTTGTGTGACACTAATTTGAGAGTTAACAGTCAATTTTCATCCCTCTATAACTTTTCTGCCTGCATCCACATGTCGTATGCATTGTATGTCCCTCAAAATAAACTTTTTTAAAAATTGTCCTCGAGTTATCAAATTTTTGCTAGTCATTTGCATTCGCAATGAGGACTTGTGGAAGTGCTAGAAACCATTCTAGTGTGGTACTTCAGTAGTACGTTGAGCCATTTTTTTCAACAACGGAATACTTGGAAAATCATCGCCACTTTACTTGCTCTGATAGCCCCCTTTTTGGTCCGCTAAGCCTTCCTGTTCTGTTTGAGTACTATGCATTGTTTCGTCTCAGGGGTAACCTCCGGCTCTGCGATGGTAGCAGTAGAAAACATAATCCATTTCAAAGGGCAACCACTCTCACTTACACTGCGGGAAGCAAATCTGGGCGTGGTAAACAAATTTCCTGATGCTGAATACAAGAGAAGAGCTTAAAATGAAGTAAATTCTCGGAGGACATCTAAGTCTCGTGTACTGCAAATGTCTACCGTATCTGTCTGAGGACACCTATAATGAGAATTCAGCACACCTCCTCAACTCCTCTATCAGCTAAACCAAATCCGAGAAAGTGTGGCTGAATATTATTGAGGTGGAAGCCAGGAGATAGACAATACATTCCTCTGTCTCGTATGATTTCTTTGTGGTCATATACCTCTCCAGTCGCACGCAAATTTCAAGAGTGGGGTTGTTTCTTGTACACTTCTGAGAGCAGAAGGGAGATGGTGCCTGTGACGAGTACCGGAAATGGCACCATGTAGTGTGTTGGCTGTTTGTCGAACTCCCGGCAGTCCATAATCCGCTCATGTTGTGGGCATTGTTGCGTTTTTGGAGAGAGCTAAGGTTGCTACATACTGGAAAGACAATATCTTTTGATTCTAAATGAGTAAAATTACAGTGCTCCCTCAAACAAAGGCCACGTTTTAAAGTCCTGCCACCATTGTCATTGTTAAATCTCTGCTCCGCCAATGTGAACATTGGTTACACACGTCATCCTCTTGAGGACGATTGTTGTCTTATGAGTTTGGATCCAGTATGCTTTATTACGACAACCCTTCTACATCTCCGATATTTTACCTATGAAAGGGAGAATCCCGTCATCACGCGAACAGTTCATGAACCCCTCTACAAAGACGAAAACTTAAGGTCTTCAGGAAACTTCGAGCAGATTAATTAATCACCACGATTTTCGAGTGCCTCAGGTATCGTTTTCCACCTTGATTAACGACTTGCAGGTTCTATCAACATGTATGTCAAGTGGTACAAATGAAGCTCATTTTCAGTCCCTGCGCTCTCCTTCAGATGACTCAGATTGATTGGCAAAACGGCAAAGCTAAATTTGGTCACCTTATTTGCCAACTATCTCGAAGAATTTATCTGTTTACGCACACTCGTACATAACTTTAAGCACTAAGTTATTTCGAAACGAATTAGCATCAAATTAGAAGTGGTAAGTAGTTTTACAGCAAACATTAGTAGTGGATTGCTATAGACTAAAGTAAGGATTTTAAAGCTTCTTTTTGATACTTCGTAGGATAAACCTCTCACCACTGGAGGATCTAGCAAAGCATTCTGATTTAGAATCTACACATCGGCAAGAAAATTCTATTTAAGAGATCGCCAAGCTGATGTATCCCTTCGGAGCTTGCACCAAGTAGGAAAATAGTTTTAGTCTTTTATAATGAATAGCGGCTACAGAATTGCTTTTACCCTTGACAAACCGAATTTCTGCCACAGACAATTGGATTGTTTCGAAATAAATTTTGCTGGTAAATAAACGCAATTTCCAGGTGATCGGACACAAAAAAATGCGCATGGATAAGGTAGCTTATCATCACATTTTTTGTGAATATTCGTTAACACAGGAATTTCGTTGGCTAACGATCTTTGATGTATTTACCATGTTTATTTAGCCGCTATACTTATAGATTACAAGTAGCAATGTGCACACCTCGTTTCCAGTTTCATTTGTCGCTGCGAAAAGTAAAAGTGATTTAAGCATTTCGGGTTACAATTTCATATTTTTGCAAACGCTTAAGCAAAAAGGCAGTCACAATGGAAAACACAGTACATATGATCGAAGGCAGTCTTTTATGTATATGGCAGTTGTTTTTTGTAAGAAATTGATGTGATTGAACAATACCGTGTAATATTTCGAAGCTCTGTCGATTTTATCAGTATTTCCATTTCTGAAACTTTACGGCTCCGAGTAATAAGGTGAATCACTTTTTTCGATTGTTCCGGTACCCAGTGTTTTAGGAACAGACCCGGATTAATTAAAGCTAGTGCTTTCTATTTTTGGGTAACACGCAGAACTTAAAGCAATTGTGGATGTCAATAACCCTTACATGTTTACACACCATTTTCCCCATTACACGCAGCAGACACCTCTTTTTTGCAGCACACTAGAACAGCATTTTGTCGATGAGCTTGGCAGTGCATTGTTACTTCTCAAAAAATCTGAAATTTCCTTAAAGTCACCTCAGCATTCAACAATCTGAAGGTAGTTGTGACAACACATAAATAGTGCAATAAAATCAGCACACACTCCAAACATAAAGCAACTTTTGTTCATATCTTACTTTGATTGATAGTAAGTGTTAATCCTACCTCGGAAATTTTTTTAACAGACTCCCAGCTCGTGGTGAGAACTCACAACCAAACCAAAGGTCGGGCAATTTAATTATAAAAGTTTGATTTTACCTCACCTCACTCGACCCTAGCAACACCTGTCGCCCGAGGTGACAGATTTAATTTATGCAACCCTAATGTTTGCTCTCATTGTGCTTAAGTTGAGGCCAGGGCTAAGCTGTTTCCCTCCAAAGCCGTGGCAAGGGTTGTAGACACACCTTGGGGAAAACCCCGCAGTGCTTTTCAACTTTATATCTGATAGATTTTATCAGTTGTTTATAGAAAATCTAACCTTGAGAGTGCTCCGGTTCGACCAGTATGCCTATTCAAATCCCCGTAACCTCTCATTACAAAGTCATGCATTGACTAAGCAATGAAGTAAGATTAATTGTTGGCTACAATGAAGCCTATGTCCTATTCCATTACACACCGTTACTTTTTAGTAGCACCTTAACCTGGGTTTTGGAAGCTATAAAGTCGCCCAGTTGGTTAATATGGGCTGTTTAACTAAAGTAGGCGCGCTCTGCAACCACCCATCAGCATAGCCTCAAAATTCAAAATGAAGCCTATTTCTAATAAAAATCGCAATCTTTATCTTGCTAATTTAGTTAATTTTGATAAACTATAAAATGAAACTTGTAATTTTTTGGCAAAGTGAAAGCGTAATCAGTTTTATAGAAATGGTTAATAGGTTATGAAAAATGTTAGCATTTGAGCTCTATCAAGGTGATGGCAAAGTAAATGGTATCTTCATACGCAAAGGATTGGGAAAGCTATTTTAAAGGCAAAAAAATGACTATTCTGCCTTATTAAAACTCGAGTTACCCATCAAATGGCTTATAAAAAAAGGAACCTATATTTGACACACAGCTTGTTCTTAAGTAACACGACTACGA